GTGTGTGTGTGGGTGGGTGGCTGGGTGGGTGTGTCTGGGTGTGTGTGGGTGTGTGGGTGGAGAGAGAGAGAGAGAGAGAGAGAGAGAGAGAGAGAGAGAGAGAGTTGTGCAGTCAGACAGACAGACAGACACGGGCGGGCACAGCACATATTTTAGACAGACTGCTGGCAGTGGCAGTATACAGAGATGGGAGTTGTGCTTGTCTTTGCTCCTCGTAAATTCTTCGAAATGGTTCTGCAACATTGTCAACTCAATGGCAGTGAGAGGCTGTGGACTTCCAAGTCGTCGGAGGATTCAGCGGATCGGTGCCGCTGCTCTACAACTGAGCACCAAACAAACTTGCATACCGAATGGGCGCCGGTTCACCACATGCCTGTGTCGGAGGATTCAGCAGATCGGCGCCGGTTTACCACATGCCTGTGTCGGACGACGCCTGCCGGCCGAATGGGCAGGGTTGCATGCGCCGAGATTCAAGCCTGCACCCTTGTACCACAATGCGCATTCCGCACCACTGCTCTACCCACCGAGCTACACCCGAATAGAAAGCCCGCTCTTTCTTGCTGAATCTGGACTGCAAGTTGGCCCAAATGACCGGCCATGCCATTCCGGTGAAGACACTAGTGAAGGGAAGGAGCAGCAGACCCTTTTGGCATGGGCTCATCACTCATCGGCGTTGCTAACTGAAGCCCGGGACCACTTAATGCCCACCCACAGCCCGGTGGAATCTGCTGTCCCTAGTGCCAGCACGTACTGCATGCTGAGGAACGCACTGCAACAGAGGAGAATAGGCTGGCCCTCCAGCCAATGCCTCTCCCCCCCCCTCTCCCTCCTCCCCCGCCCCTTCGATTGTGACTCGACAAAGAGCCAGGGAGAGAATGCTCTATCGGGTCGATGAATTCGTTGTCGCACATGATACATGCGTTTGTTTAACTTTATTCTTGACTCTTGAAGTTGAGTGAAGGAGAAGAGTGGACAGTGGTGCGGCGTCTTTTTTTTGGAGCCTCTTACTTTACATTTATACATATTCTGGTGTTGCTTTGAACTATGATTTTTTTTTTTTTTTTTTTTTTTTTGAGA